TTTCTCTCGATTGTCAACAATTTTAAGTTGACAATCGAGAGAAATACCCAAAGTAACAGGGCATTCGTACAAACGAACAGTGGACGTTTAAGAATTATTCAGATATAAAGAAAATATTCTCGCTGGCTATAAAAACATTGGATGTGCAAGAGCATGGGATACATTAACATATTAGGAACATATTTATCTGTAGACCATTTTGGCCAATGTCATAAAGGTCAGAGCTAGACATGATACTAATTAGACCGTATACGTAGTCTCAAAGTGCAGAGCGTGTTTCTGCGGCAACGGAATGCGAATCATAAACCCTCGGTTAAGCCTTCAGTAAATAAGCTGACCCTTCTTGCTGAACTAGTCCTAAATTGTATCAGCTTTAGTTTTATAGGCAAGTAAGTTATTGACGTTCCTACGTGGAAAAGATTGAGCTATAAATTGTCCAATCTCTTTGTCAGTTACATTGAAGAGAAAATGTTAATCCAGTAATAAATCCCATTACATGAGATTAATGTTGAACTAAAACTAGTTATAGACTATCGAAGCAGCTTTAATCCTACTTTTTAATACAAACACAACATTTCTGCTATTTTACCTCTTTTATTTGACATAATTCTCTCTTACAACTGTGGAAAGACCTGTTATATAAACATTCATCTATGCTTTACATCCAGGCATCCGTCGTTCAGAAGACATAACATATCAAGATTTCAATTAATAAGACTCTAAGTACAGTGTAAGTTATAAATAAGATTTCATTACTGGAGCTGCAGCTTTTTTGTTGTTGTTTTTCTTAATCATGTCCCATCCCCCTCAATCTGCTCTAGAGACAGCTGGGAATCCCCATCGCTCTCAATCCGTTCTAAAGACAGCTAGGAATCAATAAATTGCAACACATAGAAACACCAAAGTAATCTCTTTTATTAAATACTTTTTTTTGTCATTACCTACTACTTACACAATACACAAGTTGCTAACACAATTATCAGTAAAATATTTCATATGTTGGAAGAGGTTTTCTGAACTCCATCCCATAATTTTATACTTAAGTGATATTTACACTGATGTGATACGTCTTAATCGACCAGCAATATCAGCATCTTTATCACTCGTCGCGATGATTTTGCTGGTGAAATTACAGGCGATAATTAATATTTGTCTTGTATAGAATTTTTGCGCGATGGTACAGAAAAAAGTTTCTGTGTGTAGCCGTCCCTAATTATAAGCTTTTACACTACGTGGAAGGTAGCTATAGCTAGTCAATAACATCGATAACATCTTGCGTTACTCTTATCTAACCGAATAGCGGTATTTGAGTATCACTCTTATAGCGCACCCACTGTTGCAAATTGCGGAAATCGTTTCTGCAGAGATTGAGACGCGAACGTGGATCCCTTGGATTCACAGTCTAAGCAAACTAGTCATTAAGCCAAGCCAAGCCAATATTTTGATATATGATTTCTTATTGAGTTCAGAAGAACTGTACAAGGTTATAGGTCCATCTAGGGCATGAATTGTTAGTTTATTTAATTTCTTTCAAGTTTCAGAAAGATTTATAGATATAAAATTAATATACTCATGAAGTAACAAACGTTCGAGCTTTATTACAACTTCCTTTGTAAGTCTTAGTTTCTCTTTTCTCAAGTTTGCAGGGTTGGTTTGTTTGTAATTAAGCACAAAGCTACACAATGGGCTATCTGTGCTCTGCCCACCACGGGTATCGAAACCCGGATTCTAGCGTTGTAAGTCCGCAGACATTCCGCTGTGCCATTGGGGGGAAGTTTGCAGGGTTTTATTACCCTTCATATCTATAGGCCTAAAGTTTTACGTGTTTAAATGACTTAAGTAATTTTGTGAATGCCAGATACAGCTGATGATATATTAGGTGCTCATATCAAACTCTTGTATACAATTCAAATGAACCAGCTTAAACTAAGTTAATTAAGAAAAAAAAGTCTTACAAGCACAAAGTAATATAAAAATAAAAACAGTCTCGTTTTATTTATAGAGTTTATTAATAAACTCAACAGTTTTATTAACCCTAAGTCACGTGAGAACAATTAAAGAAACAGGGAACAGTTATATTGTTAATATTGGTACTACGCTGTTCCCGTAATACTTGCTTAAGTCAAAGCTTATAATTTAAAGTGTAAATACTGCAACGTAACGTTATTGTACCTGTACTGATTTTCCACGAAGTAGCATAAAGTGATTTTTAAATAAATATGAAAAAAAATATTTTAATTTGCTGAAAACGAATATTGTCAAAGTAAGATCTACCGTTTAAAAAACTCTACGGAGACCATTTGTTTTATTGTAACAAATCCGTTATATTATAACCTGTTTGCTTGTTGTTATCGTACATAGTTCTGGTTTCTTTCTGCTAGGACTTGGATCTGATCACAAAAACCCTCCTTCACAAATCTGGTGAGAATATTGGTTTCATTCGCGAAGATATCGACAATACGATGCGACATCTAGTGGAGGGAGTCTCTTCGCAGAAAGCTGCGCTAGCCATTGTAGCAGGCGGAGCTAGGTTAGTAGTAATTACTTAATACTGTAGTCTGAAATCACCGTGTTCCAAATGGCAGCACGTGGCTTTATCCAGATCCCACATCCGAGTTTATTCGGCCCACGCACTCATGTGTTAAAGTTTATGCGTTAAAAATTTCACTTACAAATAAATTTTATTAGGAAAGCCCCATTTCAGTAAATTATATAAAGATACGACCCTCTAATGTGTCTATCATTTACAGTTCGGGCTCTCCATACGCCATTAGGCTTAAGACCTTTAATGTTATCCGTGAGTACAATAAACGTGTATTGAACTAAAGACATTGGTTTATATTTCATAGTTAACAATAATTTGTTATCAGGTTTTAAAAAAACTACAATTAGCAATCACTTGCAAAAAATTCTTACTTGTATATTCCAATCTTTTTATTCTTTGTATCAGGTTGTGATGGGTTTTGATGATAGAAATATAGATTATTTTTCCTTTTCAAGGAACTGTTAGATACATTTGAGATGTTTTGGAAAGTCTAAGAAAACTTGGAAAATAAAGTGTAATTTACATGTCTAGTCATAGAAACCCAGCCGTTCGGAAGACAGCGGCTCAGTTACTTTCGGTGACAGTGGAGAAATTAGGCTCAGCCAGATGTTTAACAGGCTGTAAGGATGTGGCTGAAAAGGTTTTGCCAGCGACTGCAAGCTTTGTGATGGATTGTTCACCATTAGCTAGGTTAGAAAAACCCACAATTTTGTGATTTAACCTTTAAGGAGAAGTGTGTTTAATTTTTTGGGAGGGGAGGGGGAACTAATGCATTTTCTTCCTTAATTACTATATTAGTATACTTTGTATAAATAAAGATATTCTACGTTTACCGAACAACACCTGTTTTAATAAAAAAAATCAACATTCTTTACGTGGAGTGAAATCTTGGAGTAAATCTAGTATAAAACGTCGTTATTATTCGTTTTATGCTACTAAGATACAATAATAAGTCAATGAAAAGCCAAGCACGAATACTTTGTTCTAACTACACATTCTTTAATTTATTATATTATCTCTAACTTTAATTTTTGGCGAGTATTTTAGTAATAAAATGTTACCTACAAAGATATTTTACCAAAAAGTTGATTTGGTCATCTATTATTATATTGTGAAGTAGAAATTCAAGTTGAATATATGAGTACGTAGAAGGGAAAACTTGTGACATGGTCACTTAAAAGTTTTGTTAGATTGTGTACGAAAATGTTTTAGTTTTCGGATGATCTGTTTACTTCCAACTGTTTATGCCAGGTATTATGGACGAAAGATCTTTTTTATTCTAATGGAACATCCCGATTTTGAGAGTTCTTTACAGAAGAGTGTTTCTGCGAGTACTATTCGAAATATTAGTAGTATTTTGGATTCCATAAGAAGAAAGGTAAAATCATTTTCGTTACTCCGATGATTGGTGAATAACCGTTGAATATCATCAATTGTTAGTTGCTTAAAAAACTTTTTTGTCCTGAATGACCTTAACTAAGATATTTATGGTGATCTTTTAAAATGAATTAGTCCATAAAACGGTTAATTGGTGTAGTTTTAAGCTGTACTTAACAGAACATTGTTTGTAAACAAATTTCAAATTCAATAGGAGAAATTATCAGCTATCGCGAAACATTTATTTATAAAAGTAATTTAGCCTACGGTTGGCTAAATGATATAAATATAATTTGATAGATTTGCATTATCCTTAATTTTAACTTTCCTCATCAAAAGAAAACAGTTCTTCAGTATTGTCAATCCTCACATTAAACAAGTTATGAATGCGTGGTTAGTTTCAGTATTATATATTCTTAAGTGCACAAGTACATTACGTTCATTGAAAACAATTAGTAAACGACCAAAAATTATAGTATTTTTGATAGAGCTAACTCTAAAATATAATGGTGCGCAGATTTACAAGTCCTAACATCGTTAACAACCTTATAAAGATGTAGAAAAATGTTTTGTCAGTAGTCGTTTCCTACGAGCATGTGTACGTAGTTACGTGGGGGTCACCATTTTAAAATTAAATAAAAATAGTTTTGTATGTAATACAGCCTCATCTTTTTTGGAGTAAGTCACACGTATGTCGTTTTATCCAACCTAAATAAAATCAATTGCTGTCTAGGTCTTCTAAATATACATTCGTGCTCTACACTTTAATATATAAGCAAGCTTGTAAAATACAGCATCGAGTCCATTCATACAAATATTTTGAAGTAAAATGATTTAGAACAACATCAATTTGCTTAACACACAATAATGATTTTAATCTAAAACCAAATTTTAACTTATTTGTTTGGTGTAATTTTTCAAAATCGACAGCTGTGTCATGAACAAAGCTTCATATTGGGCTGTTTGTGTTCTGCCGACCAGGTGTATCAAAACCCGGTTTTTAGTGTCGTAAGCCTTCTGCCGCTGAGGCACTGGGGAGCTTCAAAAAGTTATTATATAATTAAAATATAAAAATCAGTTTATTCCTTTTTCTCTGAATCAGAAACTAATCAGATATTTCTCATTTATAAAATAGTTTAAGCCATTTAATCCATGTGTGTGTGTTTTGTTATAGATAATTATTATATTTTTCAACTAACAAGTGTTACATTACAAATTGGTAACTTTAAGTTGAGTTTTATAGGAAATGTTTATTTTGTAGATTATTTTGCTTGCATATTATTTATTTATGTTGTTGTAGCTTAATCTACAGTTTTTAACCACACATCTTGTTTTATTTCCAGGGTATTGGTGAAATGCCTAAAGAAGGTTTCTCTGCTAATTCAAGTAAAACGAATCTTTCAAGAAGCCGTTTATTGAGATCAAAAAACTAAGTTAAAAAAGCTTCATGTTTCTGAGGCTGAATATGATATTTTTTGTTTCTCTCAAAGTGACACGTTGCTGCCTTGCGTAGTGACCTTTACTTAAAGAATTGTTTAGAGGCGAGAGTATTTTTAGGATAATTATTATTTGTGGACATTTTAACACTGATAGTTTGTATGTCAGTCACAAAAACAACAGCAATACTTAGCTTATTTAACAGAAGTCGTATATTTAGTATTCTTAATATTATCTCAAGCAAGAAAACTAAGAAATCTGCCTGTCTGTCTGTTGATTGATCAATCTATAACTTAAAATTACAATGTTTTAATACTTACAAAGGTTACAGTTATGAATCAAGAAACAAAAAATGACTATTATCTCTGTACTATAAACAAGCATAATATATATAAATGTTACACAAGTAATGGAATGGTTCAATTCTTTTTTCCACGATAGTTAAACAAATAATTAAAGTTTTAACTTGCATTTTCTATCTCAGTAAAACAAGTCATTAAACCTTTAATATACATATTTTCTAGTTAACTTAATTTAACGTTGAGAAATGTTTTGTCGTATTGTAATAGAAAATTTTCAGGACATTTTAAAATTATACCACATTTCTGAATATTTTCAGTTAAAAAGTAAATAACGATTAATAGAAATGTGACTGATTGTTCAACAATAAGAAAATGGCTGACAAAGCTTCATTACAGATTGAACTGGAAATGTTTTTCTTATGAGTATTGAATTCTATGTTGTTTATTATGCGCCATAATTTAGCTACGTAGTGACAAATTAATTTCATAGATATTTATGAATACTATTACTGATCTACCGTTAATTATTTTGAGTCAAAATATAATTTGTATGAGCGTTCTTAGGAAAGCGACTCATTGTGTAAATAGCGCATGTGGTACTTGTAAATAAAGTATCTCTATGAGAATTCCGTAACTAAGACAATCGTAGTGAAGTATCTTAGGACTACTTTTACTTGCAAGAATTGTTTGATTGATTGTTTACTCACATATACAATAAAGAAAAAGGAACCCTCACATATAATTATAGATATTCGTTATGAGAAATACGGTACCAACATTAACCGATCGCATATACGTTATATTTCCGTTAACGTTGGAGTTCAAGTAGCACAAGAAACCTTTTAATAGTTTTATACCGTGAGATTACAATTCATTCTAATCGACATTAATGTGTGCTTAACAAGTATACTGACTGGGTAAGGTTCTTTATGGACGTCTTGCAATATGTTTGATATTTCCTATAAACAACTAACAAGATATATTTTACATGTTTATCAACCCGCTCATTTTATTACAGCTTAACTTGCATGTCCAAGATAATAACAATATTCTATTGTTTGACTTGATGTTTAATTAATTTAAAATTTGTTTTGGTTTTAAATTTAAACCTTCAAAATATTCTTAACCTTTGGAAAACACAAAAGCATCGCAAAAGTAGCCAAACCTCGATTGATTAAGGAAAGCTGATAATCTGTGGACCTTTGGAAGGTACACTTTCTTTCGTCATGGATGAAATTTAGAGGAAGATAAGTAAAAAGTGCTTGAATTATCTGGTTTCCTTGGAAACCAAGGAATAAGTTCTATTTAGTTAGTTAAAATCCTTGAACGATTTTCCAGACAATCTATTCCGTGGTTTTTAACAAACACGTGCAAACTTACGTAATAATGAAGGAATACGTTTTTGGACATGTGTGTGTGTGTGTATTGTGTATATAAAGCGCTTGGACTACGCGGACTGTTTTTTTACGGCAACAAAGATGTGCTTTCATAGCTGTTCACCTTAAAAACTCTAACGACACTGGTTTCATCTCATGACAGTGTTGATGGTAGTATATATTAGATAGTAAGACGACACTGGTTTCATTTCATTACAGTGTTGATGATGGTAGTATATATTAGATAGTAAGACGACACTGGTTTCATCTTATGACAGTGTTGATGGTAGTATATATTAGATAGTAAGACGACACTAGTTTCATCTTATGACAGTGTTGATGGTAGTATATATTAGATAGTAAGACGATAGTAAGACACTGGTTTCATTTTATGACAGTGTTGATGGTAGTATATATATTAGATAGTAGGTTTGTGGTTTGAGAATCATTGAGCAATGATATGTATGCAGTATTTGTTATTTTTTAATAAACATTGAACTAACAAATTATTATGTTAGAAAAATAAAAGAAAAACTACGTTGATTGTTTGTCAAGGAATCCTTCGCATTGACACTTCTAGCTTAAAATGATAAGTATGTTGCTTTAGATACCGATATGCTTCCTTCCCAGAACGAAAAATTAGCTTTTTTTTCTGTTCTTAGATATAATAGAAATGTTAGTAAATGACTAAAATTGTGTAGCTTTGCGCGAAATTCAAAACAAACCCCTCTAGTCTTACACTGCTAAATTAGGAACGGCTAGCGCAGATAGCCCTCAAGGCAGCTAGTCGCCACCACCCACCGCAAACTCTTGGTGTACTCTTTTATCCATGAGTAGTGGGATTGATCGTAACATTATAACGCCCCCACGGCTGAATAGAGTGAGCATGTTTGGTGTGACGGGGATTCGAACCGCAGATTGCGAGTCGAGCGCTCTAACCACCTGACCATGCCGGGCCGTCGTGTTTTGTTCTGGCTGGTCGGGTTTGCGTAACTATTTTTTTCCCCCATATATTTTGAGCGGAAATGTTCAGTTTTCTTAAACACATTTATTATAAATCTTCTGTTACATATTTCGTTTGAATTATAATCACATAAAAAAAAACTGTTTCATAAATGATGATAAATATGTTACGAGCTATGAATAGTAACGACATATCCTAGCAACAAGCTTAGTTGGTGTTTCATGCTTACAATAAAATCCCACATATTATTTAGACTTTGATCCCTAACCCCCAGTAGCTCAGCGGTAAGTCAGAGAGTTTATAACGCTAAAATGAGGGGCACGGCACAGATAGCCCGTTGTGTAGCTTTCCGCTTAACAACAAAAAAGTCTGTAACCTATGATACCGAACACAGAGAACTGAAGAACGCTTGTACTTGAATGTAAAAACTGTCCCAATATACCTCAAGTGTCAAATATGGGAACCTTGTTCTCAAAGTGCTTGATAGCAAACAGAAGCTAATAATTATTTTACACCAAACTCGACTTATGTCGGTGAGGTTAATAATTCACTGATATCGTTAGCTTACCCTGAATCTGAAGTAGTGAAATTCGTATTTCACAAAAGCTAATAAATATTTTACACCAAGCTCGTCTTATCTCGGTGAGGTTAATAATTCACTGATATCGTCAGCTTACCCTGAATCTGAAATAGTGAAATTCGTATTTTACAAAAGCTAATAAATATTTTACACCAAGCTCGACTTATGTCGGTGAGGTTAATAATTCACTGATATCGTCAGCTTACCCTGAACCTGAAGTAGTAAAATTCGTATTTTACAAAAGCTAATAAATATTTTACATTAAGCTCGACTTATGTCATTGAGGTTAATAATGCACTGATATCGTCAGCTTACCCTGAATCTGATGTAGTGAAATTCGTATTTTACAAAAGCTAATCAATATTTTACACTGGGCTTGACTTATGTCCGTGAGGTTAATAATTCACAGATATCGTAAGCTTACCCTGAATCTGAAGTAGTGAAATTCGTATTTTACAAAAGCTAATAAATATTTTACACTAAGCTCGTCTTATCTCGGTGAGGTTAATAATTCACTGATATCGTCGGCTTACCCTGAATCTGAAGTAGTGAAATTCGTATTTTACAAAAGCTAATAATTATTTTACACCAAGCTCGACTTATGTCGGTGAGGTTAATAATTCAGTGATATCGTCAGCTTACCCTGAATCTGAAGTAGTGAAATTCGTATTTTACAAAATCTAATAATTATTTTACACCAAGCTCGACTTATGTCGGTGAGGTTAATAATTCACTGATATCGTCGGCTTACCCTGAATCTGAAGTAGTGAAATTCGTACTTGCACGTATCGATTATTATTGAAAAGTTGTCTGACAAGACCAATGATACGACATTATTTTAACTAGGATTGTATAATGTTAATTAACGTAAGTTGCATAAGATCTCAAAGCTGTGATGGAACCATCGTCATGAAGTAAAAAGATTGTTTGATATATAATTATTATGGAACGTCCCAGCCCCTGTAACCCAGCGATAAGCTTGGTGGCTTATAAACGTTAAGATTCGGGTTTCGTCTCTGTAGTAGGCAGCTAGCCCACTGTGTAACTTGGAGCTTCAAACAACCAAATGATGGAATGGAACAGAATAAACCTTCCGTATTTTGTTATAAAGTGTAATACATCTTGCTATTTCCTTTCATCTATGGCCCGTTCATTTCTGGGTGTGGTCTTACAAAATTATTTAATTTCCATTCAGTTGCTTTTAATCACCTACGTAAACTTTAGTAAGATAAGACACGATTAATTTTAAAACATTTTGATCTAAGGAGAGGGGGTGGGTGGGTGGAGTATTAAATCCTCTTAAGTTAATTAATTATCACCATTTATTCGAGGATGGGAAACGAGGGCCAATCGAAATAATTAATGAACCTCAATCTTAGAAAATGAAAATTCCAAATTATTACAAAAACGAAATATGAAGGTCATAAATAACGATAAATGATTTTTCGATATATTAATCTTTTAAATATATCTCCCAACACCGTGTGTAGGTACGATATAAAAAGAAAGAACAATATATGTTTAAAATATTTCTATACTTTGACCTATCCGTGACCGATTTGGTGTAGATGTTTCTATATTTTGACCTATCCGTGACCCATTTGGTGTTGAGGTTTTCTGTATTTTCATCTATCCGTGACTCATTTAGTGTGGAGGTTTTCTATATTTTGACCTATCCGTGACTCATTTGGTGTGGAGGTTTTCTATATTTTGACCTATCCGTGACCCATTTAGTGTGGATGTTTTCTATATTTGACCTATCAGTGACCCATTTGGTGTGGAGGTTTTCTATATTTTCATCTATCCGTGACCCATTTAGTGTGGATGTTTTCTATATTTTGACCTATTCGTGACCCATTTGGTGTGGAGGTTTTTCTATATTTTCATCTATCCGTGACCCATTTAGTGTGGATGCTTTCTATATTTTGACCTATCCATGACCCATTTTGTGTGAAGGTTTTCTATATTTTGACCTATCCGTGACCCATTTTGTGTGGAGGTTTTCTATATTTTGACCTGTTCGTGACCCATTTGGTGTGGAGGTTTTCTATATTTTGACCTATCCGTGACCCAGTTAGTGTGGCGATTTGGTGTAAAGCTATACTGATGGAGAATATGGCGCGTCCACCGATGGGATAGCGCTGGATTTACAACCCTAAAATCCGGGGCTCGATTCCCCGTGGTGGACACAGTAGACAGCCCAATGTGGCTTTGCTGTAAAGCAAATCAAACAAGAATATGGCGCCTAATAGCTTAAAAATGGGTGGAGGTTGAATTTATTTCAAGATGATTATTTGAGGGGGGAATACCAC